TGTTTTAAACATCTGGTATTTTTACATAAATTGTTATGGCTGTATTGATTTAAAAACCAATAATGTGGTGGGTCCACCAGACCCACGGAGTAACAACAACATCACCACCACACAAGGATTAAGCTTGAAATTAAACTTTGTTGATCTCAAATGGCTGATAAAGTTGTTTACAACATATGAAACTTTTTAAAAGTTTTAACACAACGTGTTTTGGATGTGTCAGAACAGTGGTCACTAACCCTCCTCCTGGAGATCTGCTCTCCTGCAAAGTTTAGTATCTAAAATGCTGCCTCCTTCTTACCACACGCCAACTTTAATGTATCTGATTCAGCCAATAAGTGACTTCTGAAGATACAAATTATCTGGAGCAGGTGTGGCAGATTAAGGTTGGAACAACATTCTGCAGGAAGGCAGATCTCAAGGACCTGGTTTGGTGACCAGTGTTGTAGAATATGTGAATATTTGTAATAATAATCAAAAGATTAAATGATAGTTGCACGCCTAATGTTGTGCCATACTGTATTACACTGTGCTGTATTGTGTTCCAAGCTGGTTGCTATGCTGTACTCTAGGCTGCTGTCTTGTATTGTACAAAGCTGCGCTATTATGTATGTATTATGTAGTATTTTGCTGTGTTGCAATGTATTGCATGGGCTATTCTGAACTGTATGGTACTGTCCAATATGGTAATGTCCTGTGGTGTGCTGAATGCTATTGCACTGTGTCTCAGAGCACATTGTGTTTCAATGGGACTTGTGTCATTAGCTGCTGTGGCAGCCCTGAAGTTACCTCCCGATGCACGGCACACCATTAAGGACTGACACAAAGACATAGACCAACCGCCTGGTTACCAGCACTTTGCACAGACATGAAAACTAGGACTGTATAACATATTGTCTGTGGAGATTTGTTACAGGATTGGACTAAATGCCTCTCATCTATCAGATTCAGTAAGTTAGCAGATCCTCTACAGGGAACAAACATAAATATGGCATTATTTGTTGGTTTTTACATATTTGACGTAAAATGTGCCATAACATAACAACGGCACCAACCATTTCAATAAGACTATAAGTATTTTATTTTGTTACAACTATAACAAAGTAAAACAACCCCTCAAATTTACCGTATTTGAGCTAATTTAGTTAAAGTAAGTGAACATTCAAGGGAAGTTAATTATTAGCCTAGCCAAGAAACCCAGTGAAACTGTTTGTGTATATTGGGCATCCAATCTTCTTTCTACAGAAGCCCAGAGAGGCCATGAGCTGTTGCTATAATTTTCTGAATTTTCAAGATCGTGAAATTTGTTATCTTGCGATCACAAGATAGTTAAGTCTAACAGAAGTGAATGTAGCATGTACATCACATCCTAACAGCAAGCAAGCCTTCAAATGTAGTATCGCATCCCACCACAGAACCTTGAGGATGTCTACAAGATAATTGTTGTGATCTCAAGATAACAACTTTGTTTTACAGTATATATTACATAATGTAAACAGGTACCTCTCAGAAAGATACAGAAGTCCAGAGCAGCCATGAGGTAGTTTTCAAGATAGTTAAGACCACAACTTAACTAACTTGTGATCAAGATAAAGTTGTTATCTTAAGATCACAAGATAATTAACTCATGATCTCAAGATAACTTCTGTTATTTGTGATCACAAGATAAGTTGCGATCACTTATCACAAGACAGTTAAGTTACAAGATAGTTAAGTTGTAACAAAGTTATCTTGAGATCACAAGATAATTAACTTGTGATCTTGAGATAATTTTGTTATCCTGAGATGACAAGATAGTTAAGTCATGATCTCAAGATAACAATGCAGAAAATTGTAACTACCTCATGGCCTCTCTGGACTTCTGCATCTTTCTAAAATGTTTACTTTATGTAATATAACATATTTTAGTTATAAAAAAATCCTTCCTCAAATTTATAAAATTTTTTTGGGTTTAAAAATCACAGCTAACAATAACATAGATAAACGATAACAGCCGGTATCTTTGCAGTGTTGTGATGCAATGCTGCCTTTGAAGTCCACTTTTGTATTGCACAAATTATCAGTATTATTGTTATTTTCTGGTTTTATTCTTATTATTGGTGCTATAGATGATATTAATAGTAGCTCAGATTTTCTCCAACCAAATGTGAGTTTGGTTAAACAGATACACCAAAAATCAAACTGCTAAGTAACCAAACTGTGAAATTTTACTCATTTTACTATCAGATTTGACCGTACACAACTTTAATGAAAGACCACCATTGGTTTTAGAGTGTACTGACCAATCACAATTCCAGGTGTTTCTGTGTGTACTTTGATTAAATAAGGTAAAAAAAAAGGTCAATCATTCTGGCTAAAAACTACAGACCAATCTTTTACCAAGTAACCAGATGTCTTTTCAGTACACTGCAAGGCACACTGCATTCGCAATATGTAGCAATGTACTTGCAGTAGTACTATCGTGTCCAGCCCCAACACGCACACATGTGTAAAACTCCATTTAAGTGTCCAGCACTTTGCTTCTCAGTGGTCAGGCCAGGTAAGAGACAAACAAACAGCATGTGAGGGGGTCCGACAGCATGCAGCTGCTCTGTAGTGTAGGAACGATGCTATCAGTAACCTAGGCAACCCCAGCGGCTCATCCCCAGACTGTGTGGATATCGATTAGAGCGAGCAGAGCTCTGCTTTTCTGTTCACAATATAGAAAAAATCCATTACATTTTTCATTTTTACCATAATTAATACCACTTGTTTTCCTTAGATCCAGCAAACAAAGGGGATGTGTGATCTATTCAGGAGACTAGTCACAGCAAACGTGCTTAAGTTGCATGGTAATGACATCTATTAAAAAGGCATCCCCTAAAAACACTTTGCGAGCGAACATATTTGACCTATTTTCTGGTTCAAAGAGGCATTGAGAAAGTAATTCTCCAGGGTGATTAGAGTTTTAAGCCCGCGCTGCTGTTTTTTTTACCACGTTTATATATTTATTTATCGGTGCGGCGCACAGATTGCAACACATCATTCATTCAAGAAAAGAAAACCGTATATGTTTGAAACGTGTCCAATCACGAAATGAGCCACTGCTCACTGCTAACTCATGTCAACCTGCGTTGAAAAGCTCCTCTTTGTCTGTGTAAATGAAGCAATTGCGGTGTAGACGGCAAACCGTATTGTTCAACGTTAGAAATCTGCAGGGTTGGTGAAGCATGATTTTCAAGGCTGGAATTTGTGCTGTGTGTTTGTGTTTGCATGTGGGAGGCGTTGTGTGTGTCTTTGCTACTGCTTTGTGACACCCTTGCAAAACATCCATGATTTGTTTTTGGCAATCATTTAAAAAAAAATGATAGAAAACACAATGAACTCATTTTCACATCACAGAAAATGCTTTCAAACGGGGGGAAGGCTGCGCGTCAAAGGTTTGGGGACAACCTGCTTTTTTGACTGTAATGTTTGATAAAGCAGCTATTTGCTTGTATTCAGGACAGATCTGTATGCAGACTTTTTGAGCACAGCAGGTAAAAGTGGCCCAAATCTGATTTTCTCACCAAATCCGATTTTTTTTTTGTTCGGCTGTTCACATTATCTTTTAAATGTGATCTGTATGTGACATCAGTCTGAACAGATCAGCTCCTAAACCGATCCGCATGTACAAAAGAACAATGCTTCACGTGGCGGCTTGTCCAGAGGTAAACAATCATGACGGCCAGCGAACGCCAGTCGCTCCCGGAGCTTTCAGTTTCATCTTCACCAGCATCACAGGAGCGATTAGAAAGTTCTAATGCTTGACAGCTGGGCTCATCATCCACAGTGTGTTCGAGTTTGCCGTAAAATGGGCACGTTATTCGGCCACGGGCACTTCTTTGGTTCGTGTCCTCGGATTCTTTAAACTTTTTTTTTTGATGCTGCAGCCTCGGGCCCCTCCGGCCGCGTTTGGCTGTTTCGTTCGAAATCTCTTAAAACACAGGGCAGTTGACGCATGTCGAGTTGTACTGACGTAAAAGTCGCATGAATTCCAATCTGGCTGTTCAGACGGAGTCGCATTGCAGCAGATCGGATACATATCGGATTTCAGTACCACATATGAAAGCGTCTCACATTGGAATTGAAAATGTCAGATTCAATGCGTTTTTTGCTGTTCACACTGACACACATGAGACATCTGCGTCACATATGAGGAAAAAGATCGTATTTTGGCCACTTTTACCTGCTGTGTAAACGTAGCCAAAGTGATGTGTTGTAGCACAAAATAAATTTAAGAATATTATCTGTATATTTCAGATATTTCAGATGGCCCAAGGATGTTACAAAACTAGAAAACCACCAAGAGTGGTTGAAAATTCCTAAAACAAGAATAGAAAGACTCCCAGCTGGCTACGAAACGGTTATGCAATCTGCCAAAGGGGGGTGTTACTACAACTTCATTTCCAAAAAAGTTGGGATGCTGTGCAAAGTGTAAATAAAACAGAATGTAATGTTGTGCAAATCATTTAAACCCTATATTGAACTGAAAATAGCACAAAGACAACATATCAAATGAGACATATCATTTTTTGAAAAATATATGCCCATTTTGAGTTTGATGCCAGCAACATGTGTCAAAACAGTTGGGACAGGAGCAACAAAAGAATGTTAAAGTTGTGCAATGCCTAAAAAAACACCTGGTGGAACATCTCAAAACTAATTAGGTTAATTGGTAACGGGTCAGTAACATGATTGGGTATAAAAAGAGCTTCCCAATGAGGCTCATTAAAGAAAATGGGGAGGGGTTCACGGCTCTGTGAAAGACTTTGCCTGCAAATAATGTTTCTCAATGTAAAATAGCAAAGAACTTGGGGATTTTATCATCTACAGTACATAATATCATTAAAAGATTAAGACAATCCTGAGAAATCTCTGTATGCAAGGGACAAGGCCGAAAAATCAATATTGGCCGACTGTGATCTTTCAGTGAGACGTGGTGACGTTTCTGTGGTGTAACAGTGTGAAGGTGCACTCACTGAACAGTAGTGGTTACACGGAGTCTGCGCAGGCCTGGCGTAGGGAACTGTCGTGAGTTAATGTAGGAAACCTTTGCCATCGCTGTGTTGATGCTCTCCAAGTCATCTCCTTCCATCACCAGCACAGATTGAGCTGGGTTGAAGTGAAACTGAGAAAAAGAGAGAGAGAGAGAGAGAGAGAGAGAGAAACAGACATTATATAAGATCTCATTCATTTCCACAAGTTAGTTCCATCAACAGTCATGTTTATTCTGATAACAGCATGTGCTTTTTCACCACACCTATATCATTCCTCTGACCACTGGTTGCTAAGTAACAATACTCACTTTCCACTAATTTGCCGGAACTAGAAAGCCATCAAGGCTATCTAGGCCTTCAGAGAAGGCCTAATGATTTCTGGGAATTTAAAAGCACGTAATGTTTAGTTCATTTTGATTCATAATGCTTGTTGACTTTATACTCTGCAAACACTGCAGTAATATTCTTATTTCATTGATACATTTTGGCCAGAAAAAAATATGGTGACAATTCTGAAACATGCAATGGAATATTGTCCAATCAGCTTTTTTTCTCTATGGTATCAATGCAGATACAGCCAAGCTAACTGTCCTATTGGTTAGGCCTTCAGGAGCTCTGCAAGTCTTAGATATGTCACTGACTGTGAATGGAGCAGTAGTCTATGCAGGGTTAAGTCAATTATGACCGTCAAGACCACCAAAAACTAGATCACCAGAGAATAAGAGCTCTATCAGGAGAAATGACCTCAATTCCTCTGCCTTGCATCAGCTTGCATGGTTATCGGATCACATTTGGATTTCAACTGACCACATGAAAAGCCAGGTGTAAACACCCCCAGGACGCTCTGTGATTGAATTACAATGGGATCACTTATACCACTTTCAGGCATGTTCACAAAAGGGGCGCAATTTAGGGAAAAGTGTAAATGGAATGCAACCAAAGTACACTGTATGGCCAAAAGTACATGGACATTCCACAAGGAGTGGTGTAAAGCAAGCCGCCACTGGACTCTGACATTTTAGACTATTATATGCTGGCAACAGCTTGGGGAAGACTATTTTCTGGAGAAACTCCAGTGGTCTGCACAGAGCCCTGACCTCAACCCCACTGAACACCTTTGGCCTTCTCATCCAATATCAGTGCCCGACCTCACAAATGCTCTTTTGACAGACTGGGCACAAATTTGAGGGGGAGCAGCTCCAGATTAATATCAATAGTATTGCTCATATAGGTGTGATGGCCAGGTGTCTACATAGTTTTGGCCATATAGTGTACATCCAGATATGAAAACTGAGCAAGCTTTTCAAAATCTGGTGGCTGAGGTTTCCTTCTTTAGTTTTGGGCTGGACAAAGTATAGTCAAAGACAACCAGACAAAACTGCAGACGAAATTCAAGCTTCAAGATGGCTTCTACTACTATTTTTAGCTGTGCACCATACCAGTGTTTACTGACAACAATGCATTATATAGTGTTAGAAACCATATAAACAGGTCTATTGAGGCAAGTGTTTGATGTGATTGTGTATAGGCACCTTGATGCCTTTGCCCAGGCTCTCCAGAGAGTTGATGTCCAGGCCCTCCTTGCAGGCCTGCAGGCACGAGATGACTTTCTGCGTCTCGATCTTTCCAGGACGGATGGTCAGCCCTGAGAGGCTTCCCCGGAAGTACTGTGTGAAGCGCGGAGTGGTCACCTCTCCTCCTGAATCACACACATAAACACATATACACACATACATATACTCAATCTCAGTGTGTGAAATACCCCACAGTAATTGTGGGGGCTGTTTGTTGGCTGAACATAGTGTCGGCTGGCTGCCAACTCACTTCTAGCATAATTAACACCAGCTTAGATAGCAGCAAAACAATAAATATGCTTGACTTGGAGTACATTTATTGTTTTGCTTATAATTTTTTAGATGGAAATCCTTTGAACCTTGATTTCTGTTTATCATTTTGAATTGGATTTTATGGCTGCTTATTTGTGCCAATTAGAGGAGAAAAGTGTTCTTTTTCTTCTTCTTCTTTTGCTTCTGGCAGCAACATGTAAGATTTTGGCATAACTTGAATAAATAACTTATTTTCTCAAAATATGGACTCAAGTTTTTTGAAATAGTAACTAAGCTTACTTAAAATTCTAATACAATGTCCCAAATCAATGACTTATTTTCTCTAAATATAGGTCTAGTATCTCAAAACAATCCTTTTGTTGAAATATTGACTCAGTAAGTCAAAATAAAGACTTAATATCTCAAAATAATGACTTTTTTCCTCAAAATATTCACTTAATATCTCAGTCATGATTCATTTTCTTAAAACTATAAATATATATAAATAATGACGTATTTTCTTATTATATTAAAATAATAACATTTTTCTTAAAGTATTAGCCTAACATCTCAAAATAATTATTTTTCTCTCAAAATATTTACATAATCTCTCAAAATACAGGCTTACCTTTTGAAATATTGACTGCTCACCTCAAAATAATTACTTATTATTCTAAGGTAATGACTTATTATCTCAAAACAATGACTTTTTTTAATTGAACTCAAAGCAATGGTATATTTTCTCTAAATATTCACTTCCCAAAATAATTACTTATTTTCTCAAGACTTTAGGATTCTATGTCCTGCATGTGTTCTGACATGTTTTGCATATGTTCCATCTTCTGTTGTGATCGTTGTTCGGTCACTTGTTTTGTCACACCTGGAGTACTGCCCTACTGGTTTGGTCAAGTGCTGCTACGAAATATTATAAAAATTGTACAGAACAGCACAGCCAGATTAGCTCTTCACTGTGCTTCCCATGCTAATGTGTGTGAAATGCATAAACGATTATCATGGCTAACTGTGGAGGCTGAGTGTGTGGACCCCAGGAAAGACTAGCAACCACTATGCGGAAGCTAAAGGGGATCCAAATAAAGAATAAAGAATGTCCAAATAGTGAGGAATTTCAAGAAAGCACTCATAGGAGAGAAAAATAAAAGATCTGTTTATATTTTATAGCTGATTTATCTGCAACTGAACTGAAGATAGGAATCTCAATATCAAATCAACCATTTCTCATCCAAGATTAAGACACTTTTTAGTTTTGATGCTGAAAGTAACTCCTAAAATTATTTCTGGGCATCAAAGTATCTCCTTTCTAATTAACGTCATTTCTGTTAATGAATTTTAGGAGAAACATCTGTGACAAATCTGATACATTAAGGAAACATGGTGAGACGTCTCCAGAGCATTAAAGGGAAATCTTTAAGCGATAAATGTTTCCTCTATGTAAGAAATTATTTTGGAATAATTCGTCATTATTTTCAGACAGTAAGTCATTATTTCAGGACAGTGACTATTTTGAGAGAATAAACCATTATTTTGACATTGTAAGTAATTATTATGAGATACTAAGTCATTAGATTCACTTACAAAGTCAATTTGAGAATTATGTATTTATTATGAAATACTAAGCTATTCGTTTGACATATTACGTCATTACTGTGACACTGCAAGTCATTATTTTGACTTGCAGTGTCACAGGCCTGATGGACACCAATGAAACCAGTCATGGACATTATCTGGGTCTGGGAAACTGGCCATATAATGCTTTACATGATCTTTAAGGACATTTATAGCCACCTTCCAGTGAGTCCAAATGGCTGATTAGGGAGGACTCAGACTCCCACAATCCCCATATTTCACACTTATTATAAGCACCACACGTCGAACAAAAACTCATGGAACAAGACTGCTCTAATGGCAGCAATCTCCACCTGACATTTAGGACATTAAGTATTGGCTGGACGTGTGGATAAAAGGCCTGTCTCCATTTTAACAATGTGTTTGTTTTTCCGCGCCAGTCTTCGCCTGATGAGCTGGCAGCTCCAGAGGGGCTAATAGCTCCCATCGCAGCCAACACTGCCACTCGCGCAAGCCCCTCATGCAGCCTCTCACGCCTGGCGCGCTTAATTGCCTATGATTTTTAAATTATTTCCCTGACAGATGTTATCAATTAAATGTTATGACACAGACAAAACAGCAGAGGAGCGCTCCTGTCCTCGTTCATGACTGTCCTCCGAAAGGAAGGACGTTACCCAGACAGCTGCTGCAGCACCATCTTTTTCTTGTCGGATATTGCGCAGAAAAATAAGGTGAAAAGTTGTTATAGCAGTTACTGGATAAGTCTAAGACTTATAATAACCCTAATTAAGGGGTTAGAATGCAGATATACAGCAGTGGCGTAAGTATAAATAACTTTTTGGGTAGACTGGCGAAAAAGCGTGTTGACGTCTAGAGATTATTACTGACAATAGTGTAATATTGACATTACTATTGACAATAGTGACAATAGTGACGATAGTAGACAGAAGTGACTAGTACAGTCTTCATTGTACCATTGTATTTCAATGCTTCTGCCTTATAGTAATGAACCAAAGCCAGACGATTCACCTCAATGAGAATGCAGGATTCACATAAACCCAAGCAACGTTTGCCCAATGAAGACAACATAGCCGAGTAAAAAATGGACAGCTGAGATGTCGAGGAAAAACAACACAGCAAACTTAAAACCTAAACCTAAGCATCCTAAGCTAAAACATTCTGCCGCTGTGGGTGTGAATAAATCTTAATGAACCTTTTATGTCTGACCTTTGATGACCTTATGCATGGAAGTAGACATTTGCTTTGATATTCTGACCTAGCCATTTGTAATAAAAGCAAAAGGTAAAGCAACATTTTAACAGAAGCCCTTGGGTTTGGAAATGAGTAGGCAATGACAAACTGCAGTCTATCATGCACTGTCTCACTTTGACATGTCCCCCCAGGCACATCTTTTGACAAGCTATTAAAACACATTACATATTGATGGGCTACTGAAAAATGTTTGATAGCAGCAGTTGCTAATTAGGGACTGGAGGGCTGAGAAAATAAGTTCGAGCCAGCTTAGAAACCCATAGCAATATTTAGTGAAATAAACTCTTGTTAAAATTAGTTATTCTATTGAATGATTTCATTTGGGGTAAGATGTAGAGGTTTAGAGACCTCTCTGGTGGAAATGTGTAATTGCACACAAACTGCAACAGGACACTTTGCAACAACAGTTGTGCTTCAGACCCCTTCCCCAAGTGGATGAATCTGATGATTGTGAATGCGTTAAAAGAGTATTTAAAGAGAAGTCAGTGAATGACGTGTCTTCCATGGATATAAGTGAATTATCTACTAATTACTTACAGATAAATGTCATATTTTCATACATATGATAATGTCGGTTTTGCATTTGAGACCTAAACACAGAGCCAGACTGAGTCCGATGCATGCAACTGGCAAAATCCCTGTAGTTTTGGCAAGTTTAACGTACAGTAGATACTAGACACTCAGGAGAGAAGAGCATCTGAGGTTGATGATATTTATAGCATGACCAGCTTTACGTTGCTGTAAGTTATGTCATGCTATGAGCAATTCAGTAACATTTCAGCCTAGATCTGTTACAGAATCAGAACATTTGTAATTTTTATTTGCAAAATGTCCAAAAAACAACATTTTATGACAATATCAGCCAATAATACTGGGTATCAGATCAGTATCACACTGGCCCTTGTCCATCAAAGTTGTGTACAGTCAAGTCTGGCCGTTAAATGAATTCATGCAAAATTCATCAACAGTTTTGTTAATCAATTTCATCTTTGGCACATGTGTACGATCAAACTCACGTCTGGTAGAAGTGCAAATATGAGCGTTATACTTTATCAACCTGAAGAAAAGCTCGATTTGTGGTTAACCAACCAAAACTATTATCAATATTCTCCATAATATCAATAATAAGAATTAAGAAATAGTAGTAGTACTAAGAATATGTTCACAATGCAACACAGTACAAAAACAGATGTACTTATTTTACAGGCACATTGCTGCAACTATTCCATATTCCGTTTAAAGACATTACATTGGGCATTTGTTTTATACTACTGACTCCGCCCAAAAAATAAATAAAACCCAGCTAGTGCACAAACATCTCATTCACTGCATTAATAAAGAGGTTAAATATGTTATTTTAGGAAACACTACAAAATCATATCATGCTGCATAAGATGTTTTGTTTATTTCACATTTAGTTTAGTTTCAACACTATAAAGTCTGGTCAGTAGGGGGTGCAGTGCTTAACCTGAAACCCCACCTAAAAGCACAGCTTATAAGCTGCTGAATGCTGTCATTTTATTGGCTCCCTACTGAAACATCTGCATAAACAAGGGTGTGCTTCATGTCAATGATACATAAATAAGATGCTGGTAGGCTGGCGCTTGATTTCATGCACCGAAGCTTATTGCGCTCAAATCTCTGCTCGTTTCCACGTCGTATGAGAGCAGAGTGGTTTGTACTCCATCAAAGGTGGCTCTTTCTTTGCACAATGTTGATGAATAAAAGCCAGTAATGCCACACTCCACATACATCAGGAAATACTGCAGGTTTTAGCAGCGGTAGGCTTAGTGGGGAGTTTGAGCTAATCCTATTTGATGTGTCACGGAGACAATGGACAGCGGGCTCCATTTCTGTCTTCAACAGCGATAAGCATCTCAATTTGCCCAGCCTGAAAGAACATGGTCCACAACTTCCATTATGAGGTGGCTTGTCATTACGTTGTTGATTGTGTCGGGCGAAAAATGGAGTGAGTCGGAGAGGCAATCTCTCCCGCTAATAGCCTAAAAAGTTATCA